CCCCTTTGCACCTCACCCTCTCTCCACCCTCCCAGACACTCATAATGAATGTTCCTGTTAAGACCTGTCCTGAAGGGGTCATCTGCCCTAGATTCCCTGTGTTTCCAGTTCCTATCCGTACCAGTGTACATCCTCTGGTCTAGCCAGATTTGTAAGGTACAATTGGGATCATGATAGTAGGGGCGGGGGTGGGTGGGGGTGGTCATTTAAGAACTAGAGGAAAGTTATATGTTTCATCGTTGCTACACTGCACCCTGACTGGCTCGTCTCCTTTCTCTTCTTGTACCTAGGTCTTGTCCATCGAACTCACATGTCATCTTGTCGGGTAGATAAACCCTCGGAGATAGTGGATGTTGGCGACAAGGTGTGGGTGAAGCTCATTGGCCGAGAGGTAAAGTTCTGTGCACCTTTCATGTGTGTAGAAAGGATTAGAAATGCTGAGGTTTTCCTGGTGTGATGGTGAGTGTCTGTATTATTAATTGTGCCAGATTGCCTCAGTTTTGGGTCCTGCCACTGTCATCTGTCCTGGATTTAAAATCTGTTGGCTTCTGTCTTGCCCAGAAGCCATAATGAAAGGTGGAGACTACACAGTAGGGGGTGGAATAAGAGCATGTTTGAAATCCTTCCCTCCGGAAGCTCACCCATTTTGGACCCCAAAGCAAAAGGACCCAGAGTTGGTGCTAGTTTCTCCTAAGGTCTGACACTGTACAGTATGGAAGAGGTGAGAAGGTTCTGTAGGACGGGATTGACAAGAATTCACTCAAACAGGAGAAATGTGAATACCCAACAAACCCTTTTTCTTCTCTCTGAGAGGGGTAGGAGCTTCCGCAGCACAGGAAGAGAGACCATCCAGCAATGTTGCAGTGCTGGCTGGAATTTGGTTTTGAGGCTCCCTGTGTGAACTAGGCATTAATGATCTCGGCTGTCATGCAGAAGACAAAAACGTGTAAACAAACTTACACATAAAGTAATGGCACATTCTACTAAGTGCTGTGATGAGTTCAAACAATATTAGAGATAGATATAGGTGAAATGAGCAGGGAAGGTACCTCTAAGGAGCTGACACATGAGCTGAGGCTCAAGGGAAAAGAAAGGGATTAGTCATGGGAAGACTTGGGTTAAGCATGTGCCAGGCCAAGAGAATAGCTCATCCAAAGACCCTGAAGTGAAGAAGAACAACGTGGCTAGCAAGTGTCCTTAATGCTTAGAGGCGCTCTAGACGAATTCCAAACGAAGAACATTCTGAAACCATTCTGGGCTTATGGAACCTTGAACTGATTGCATAACTCCATCTACCTGGAAGAAACAGCTTTTACATCCTGCTTAGTTATTTCCACGGGCCTTGAATTTCTCAGTGTTCTCAGGCATTTCTGCCTTGACCCCGAGGGACAGGAGCAGGACCGAAGCCAGTTTCCTAGAAATCTTGTGTGGCAGGGATTGAGTGTTATGTTTCTTCGTTCCCGCATGTTCTTACAATGCCTTGTTTACTAAAGGAGTTCACTAACTGTTTGTTATGATGCCGAGAGCCTTTGTTTCTGAGATGATCTTAGAGCAGCAGTCTCAGATGTTACTGAGATCTCGTGGTGACTTTATTTTTGTCTTTTTCAGATGAAAAATGATAGGATAAAGGTATCTCTCTCCATGAAAGTTGTCAACCAAGGGACTGGGAAAGACCTGGATCCCAACAACGTTATTATTGAGTAGGTAAAAGGTGTGAGAACCTCCCGAAGCACAGAATGCCGTGGTGGCTCAGAATGAACTGGAAGCTACCATTTATAGACTTTATGAAATTGATAGGTTGTGTGACCCTTATGATACTGGATTGTTAAAACTGCAAAGTGTAGACAATGCTTTATTTCATAGAGACCTTAGAATAAAATGAGTCAACACGTAAAACTTATAGCACTTCATCACCGGTTCTGTGTCTTTGCTCTTAGTCTCTTGCTACTTCTACCCTTCGACCCTTTAGCCCGTGAACATTCATGAAGCACCTATTATTTGCCTCTCCCCTAGTAGTTTCTGCCCGGGGGCTGAAAAAATAGAGACCATGTGTGAGAAGAAGTAGGTTGATCCAGGAGCAACTCCAGTGGGGGTTAGATTCTGGCATCTTGGTATACAGTGTTATGAAGCCAGAAGTCTACTTCTCATTGGCTATTAACCTTTAATTTAGGAATAGAAATATGCTCTTATTTTAATCCATGGATACAGGATTTAATCTGGAGATACAGGGGATTTGGTTTGTGTCTCAAAGTCGATATGGAGTATGTACCAGGGATTCTTTCCAGGGACTCCTGAACCTCTAAGAGGTCTTGAAAAGTCTTAGGGATTGTACATAGAACTTCTGCCTAGGGTAACTTACTGTAGCATGTGGGTTGCCTTAAAGCATAGGGTTGCTTTGTTTTTTACCCCATCTAGAAGGCAAAGTTTTCTCATCCCCTGCCTATTCATCCTGCCTCCAAAACCTCATGTTTCCATTGAGTCAGTAGCCCGTGAGAGGAATCCCATTCCTGACACCAATTGTAAGTCAGTGGCTTCAGAACCTGTCTAACTTTGAGACAGGGAGTGTCTCATGATCATAAATCATGATCAGCCAAGGCCAAGCCTATCTCCACTCTCCAATGTTTTTATCAATTCTGACACTAGCCATCCCTCCCATAGCACTCTACCTCTCATTTAGGTTCTGTGATCTGTTGTGATGGCCACACGGAATTTATCATCCTTATAGTTAAGTGGTTTTTTGAGAAAATAACAAGCTACGCTTGGAATCAGGATCTACATGCAGGTAAAGTCTCCATCCGTGCAGGTTGCTCTCTCAAACATGAAAGTCTTTCTCTGATTTCCCGTGGCACCGGCCTCCTCTGAGCTCCCTTAGGACAGGCTCCTCTTGACCCTACTGTGTGCCACCCCCTGCCCTGCCACTAGGCCCTTCTTGGTCTCTCACTGTCTTGAACATTACAGCTCTTGGCCCATGTTACAGACCTTAGGAAGTTCCTTGCCCTCATTTCTCTGCTTTTTTTTCAACTTCTCTGCCCACATCTTCCTGCAGCTTCTCTTTCTGTTGCTTTCTCAAAACCCTCTGTGGGGTCCGGCTGTGTATGTACACAATTTCTGCATCAGTTTCAAGGTATGGCTGGGCTTGCAGGGCTACTAACTGACCAGTCCCTCTCAGTAGGCCACAGGAAATTTGCATAGTAAGTGAGGCACTTCATTTGCATAATCTATTGACTGTTCTTTGCAAGATGGGTACCAGTCACACCAGGCTGTAGCCCAGGACCAGACAAAAAGTAGCAAACTAACCTTACCATAGCTTACCCAGGAAATGTCAACTGCTGGGGATAAAGGTAGCAGACCTCTGGGGTAGAGTAACTCCTCAGGGCTGACATCAAAGGTCTCAAGCTGTTTGTCACAAAACAAGACACTAAGGCCACCGAACGGGACTAGTTTCACCACTGGGGGTTTCGGAGCTGTTTCCAGTATATCAACAAAACCCACTGCCATCGAGTCAAACTGACTTACAGTGACCCTGGAGGACAGGGTGGAACTGCCCCTGTGTCTCTGAGACTGACTGTAATCTTTCCCCCAAGGAGTGGCTGGTGGTTTCTAAATGCCCACCAACGAGTAACTACTATGCCACCAGGACTCTTAGTATATCAAAAAGCCACCCAAAATCATATATTTATTTTCAGGCTGGTCACAAATTCTTGGTCCTTTTGACAGTAATAGACAAGGGGACTATGAGAAGTTCATGGGAAAATCACATCTCCAATTCCATTTTTCTAAAAACTTAAAAGTCCCTTCATACCACGTTTGCTAATCAAATACTCCCAGTTATATCACTGAGTAATATAAATGTGAGAAAAATGATAAGTGTTGTTTGGAGCAGAATCTCAAAGGTAAAAATTAGAAGCATTTATGTTTATAGTTCTAAGCAAAATCATTGGATGGGAAGGAGTTTTATGAAAGAATTTTACCTAGGGAAAGGAAGTGATACTTATTGAGTACTAGTATGTCTACCAAGCCCCATGTTACTATCTGCAGAGTCATACACAGAAACTTCGCACCACACGCACGGCCATCGAGTCCGTGCTGACTCATAGCCAGCTTGATAAAGCAGAAACCTCGAGTAAGGGGATAAAACTAAGCTGTTTTTTGGCTTTGGGTCATTGCAGTTTTTACCCCATGAAATTCTTTTAAAGTGAAATTAAGTGTGGCAGATACTTTTATAAGAGGAAAAACGATGAAAAACTTAAAAATAAACAGTTCAGGAAGGAGCAGGGTATTTAAGATTTGTGTTAGTTTTAATAGTGACGCACTGCATAGTAGTAAGGATGGTGAGGGCTATTTGGGGTTGAAGGACCCGTATATATTAATTTTATGTGTGTTTAGCATGGTCATTTTAGTACTTCTTGCTGTAACATCTTATACTTATAAGATATCTGTGATCAGCATGATATTATTTGTTGAAATGATGGGTTTATTTTTGGAAATGATGGATTTTTATATTTGAAAAGGAGCAGGAAAAGTTTCTTGGGTGTAAAATAGAACGCATGGAATATTAGCAGTATTTCCAGTTAAGCCTTACATTAATCCTTTAGTTTGTTCAGTCTCATGTAGTTTTAGTTCCATGTAATTTTGAATCAGAAGCAGTTTGAAACTTTATTGTTTTTTAATAAAAATCCTGCTTTAATGGTATTAATGTTTGAATCGTTATAGTCGTTGTCATTAGTTTCATATAGTCCCTTATAATTAAAATATTTCAGTCAAACATTTTCAGTAAATGGTAGGGTTTTTCTATAGGTGACAAAAATGACCATGGCTAACTTTAAATAATTTTTTTTAAGTGAAAAGTCTGGTTTGAATTTTAAAAGCAATATAAAACTAAAGTCAATAAGAAACTTTAGTTATTTTTAAACATTATTAACCTTATTTAAAAAAATATACAGTCACTTTCAGATATAATTTTAAATAGTGCATACTGAGAATGTACTAGGATTATTCAGTTTCTAAATATTTGAATAATAATAAAGACATGAGTAAAAGATGTATATTCTTCAGTTATTGGTTTTGATGATGTTAAAATTTTTTAAATGTCACAATCAAGTTAGTAATTGATATAATAAAATTATGACATATGCTGGTTGTGTAATATTCGATGAACATTATAAATTTAACCTAAAGAAAATTTGGCACTATTCAAAATGTGGGAACATGTCAATGTAATTTATAATACAGCAAAAATTAGTACTTTTTAGACAAAAGCGATTGTTTATTTAAATTATGACTTTTATGGATTTTGAGTTGTCAGAAGTTAATTATAAGTCAGTGAAAGACATAGTTACTTATAAATTTTAAAGTTTTTTCTTAAGCTGAGCAGCTTGATTTTTCAGTTAAGGACATAAAGTTAATATAAATATAAAGACAGAACTTTTGCTTCTTAAGCAATAATACTTTCGTATTATTGGAAAAAGCAATAACAAGCCAAGGAAACAAGACTTAACAAAATTAAGTGAACTTTAAGTTTTTTATTAAAAACGTAGGAATTAATTTGTTGAACTTTTACTTTTGAAGTAGACTACTGAGAGAAGAAAATATTTAAAGAGAATTTTGTTATTTTAATAGAAAAAAACCTTAATTTTTTGGTATTTGATAGTAAAACTCTTAATTTCATAAATCAAACAACAACCTTCAGCCAGATTAGAAACAACGAGAACACCTTTAGGCTATGTTAAAGGAGCTTCCCATTAATGAACCTTTTAAATTTCTTGTTTTATTACATATTCTCTATTACTAGCTCCTAGCTTGATGCTGAGTAACTTGCCTAGTTACGTAGCCAGTTACAGGGAAGCAGAGACTAGAATGTAGAGCATCTGATTGGTGCAGGTGACTCACAGGGTTTTTCAACTTTCTGTATTTATTGTCTAAATAATGACATGTTTGTAAGACTGATTGTTGACAAAACACTTTCTGATTACAATGGAAATATTGTGTAGTTCAGAGTTCTGGCGTACTGTTTATGTTTGACATGATTGCATGGTGATAAATGGCTTCTGCTTCACGGAGTCCTCTACTGTACAGGCTCTGTCGTGTACAGTATCTCATTCCCCAGGGCCCCGAAGAGAGCAGTCGCTTAATAAGTGAATCTGTAAATGGACAGGGTTTTCCAATTAGGTGTAGCCAGCATCGTAGAAATTTCCGAAAGAGTGCTGTGACTCACCGCACTGTAATTATCTAGATGTCTCCTCCTGCTGTTAGGTTATACAAGCTCCTTGAGGACAAGGCCCAAGGCTATGCACGTCCATGTGCTTAATTCTTACCACCAGTACTGACAAGTGTTGTCGCTAAAGGAACTGAGCAGAAGATTAATCTGACAATTTGTGTTGGGTGGATTGGAAGAGAAATTGGAGACAGAAGACTATTGTTACTAAAAATCCTAAACTCACGGTGGCAGTGAGAACAGGCAGGGAGGCATGCAGGTGAGGGGCACATGGGTTGAACTGAATGTTAGATGGGAGGTGTGATTTGGCATGCAGAATGTGAGAATCCACAGAGTATAAGAATTCATTATAATCAAAGTTTGCTTAAGCTGCAATTCTAAATGACTTGGAATGCAGCTCTATAAATAAGCACTTCTGACAGTTATACATACAGCATAGGGCTTGTTCAGGTCATGTTGCAAGTTTCTGCCTTGGTTTTGGACAAGCTAGACAAATCTCACAAGCCATGATGAGTGAATGAAGCCAGACAGACAGATTCATACTCTGGTTCCATGTATGTCATCTGCGAAAGCAGTTCGAACTCATGCATGTTACAAGTCCGAATAGTGGTTACCAAAAGGAGCCGCCTGGTTATTAGAGGGGAGTCTGGGGTGGGGCTTCTGAGGTGCTGGTAACAGTCGTCTCGTGATCTGGTTACTACATGGGCATATTTAAATCATAAAAACAAATTGCGCTTGATACTTAAAATGAGCACTTTTCTGCGTGTGTATCACACTTCGCTTAAAAGTTGGGACTTTTAAAAAGTGCTGTGGGGAGGTAACCTAAGGTTAATGTTGGCCGGGGGCTCCGGGAAGAGGAGGAGGTGGGACTGAGCTGAGCTCTGCGTGTTGGCTGTAGTGGAGTGGGCGGTGAAGTCCAGAGGGAAGCATCCTCTCGACGGGGCTGAGATCAGGTGTGAAGAGGGGAAATGGCGTATTAGCGGGGAGCTCACTGAGCAGAGGCACGGACCACGCGGTGACAGTATAATAGTCTGGGCCGGCCAGGCATTCTATACAAGCACAGATGCCGTTGGAAGAGCAGCTTAGAGAGACACTGCAAAATGCCTTGAATGCTGTGGTAAGGAGTTTGGGCTTGATTTCCTAGTCTTCAAGGGTCTTTTAAACCCAGGAGTGACCTACTAAGGGTTGTACAGGGTTTCGCAAGATGAGAAATAGTATTTTTTTTCCTCTGTGGGTGGTGAGCTCATGAGGCCTAGTGTCACTCATAATTACTAATTCAGAGCTTTGTCCTGAATGAAAACACCGGGCCATTTCACGCCATTGCGTTCATTGCCTGTCGTCTACCCACCGCTGCCTCTCTCTCTCTCCCTGTCAAAAACAACCGAAACCCAATGTACGCCGTTACCGTGTAGTCGGTATCTCGGGCCACATCTCTAAAGGGGGACAAGCATCCATATCCTTTTCCTCACAGGCAAGAAGAGAGGCGCAGACGGTCCTTCCAGGATTACACTGGGCAAAAGATCACCCTCGAGGCTGTCCTGAACACCACCTGCAAGAAGTGTGGCTGTAAAGGTAAGGTGCCGCCCTGCCCCCAGTCTTTCTCTCGTGGTGGTGAATGGGCCCTTTCCCGGATAAGGGAGGTAGCCTCGGGTGAGTTTGCTTTCTCTGCTTTTTAGCCAAGTGTTGGCCTCGCCTCTTACTGGACTCCTCAGAGCTCCCGCCTGGACGCTTTTCTGCATGCTGTGCTGCCGACACTGCACTGTATCACCACTCCCCCTCTGCAGCGGATGAGCCCCCTGGGCCAGGTCCCCTGTTGTTGTGCCAGAGTACAGTGTTTGATTGTGACTAACACCCTAAATCGTATTTCCAGGAACCCCGATTTTCCCAGGCAAGAATTAGGAAGCTTGGAAATATATGCCTTCAGGCTCCAAGCTCAACTCTTCTCATCTGTATCTCTCTTAACTCCCAGGCTCTGAATACGTAGTCCTTTTAGTAATAAGCACCCAGCGTAGCCACTCCCTTTTAGCTCTGTTTCTTCAGGTTCCCTCTAGTCTTACTCAGACATTAAAGAGCTCTTTCAGCCTGCCTGCCCCTGTTGGAGCTGCAGTGAGAGAGTGCCAGCTTCTCATTTACAGAGTGACCTCAATTTGTCACCCCCTCTCTCAGGCCTTTCCCCCACCCTGCTCTGTTGGGTTTTCCACAAAGACTGGTAGCAGACTCGTGGCCTGGTTGAGGTTGAGGGATTTTAAGCCCCTATTTATCATTAATGTAGAGAGAGGAAGGGAGAGGTGAAATTGAAAGACAATACCTCTTCAGGGCAATTGTGGGAGAGCGTTCTCGATAACTTGGGAGACTCCGTGTTGCATTCCGCATCCAGTTACCGTTGAGCTTCTGTACCTAGAAGTGTAAAGTTGTTCACACACAGCATTTCGATTGTCTCATACAACCCCTTCGTGTCCCGAGGCAAGGGGTAAGGAAAGCTCAGACAACCAGCTTTGTAGATAGAGTGTGGTATCTGCCAAAGGGCCCTGTGAAGCCCTTATAGGCTTAGGAAGACAGGGGTCCTCTTACCATCACCTTGCGTCCACCAGTGTTACATGAGGCCCAGGAGGAAGATGAGAAATGAACTTGGCTCAGTTCGCAAAGGTAATGCTGAAGGTGGTTGGTTAAAAAGAGCAGAGGGGAAGGATGCGCGGGACCTGGGATCAGCTTTAGCGCTGGTGCTGCCTGCCTGGCCTTGAGCTGCTTCGCTGCTCGGCTCGATAAAGTTTGCAATGGGGAGCGGGTCCTAGCGAATCCTGACAACCTGGGAACATTCAGTGCCCCTCTCTGGGTGGTAGCTTGGATGTTCGTGCCCCCTTTCTGCCAACTGCATGAGGGCTAGCTTCTCGTAGGGTCACTTAGTTCCCTCAGCTAAGCATTCTGCTCCCCAGAGCAGCCTTTCATTGTCAGGAGTTACTTCCAAAATAGAGCTTTAAGAATTAATAAGCCCGGTTGCTGATGGAGGGCGGCGCAAGCCCGCATCCCCCTTCCAGGCAGTGCCAGCACTCCCCACAGCGCCAGGACCAGCCGCAAGCCTGGCTCTGGCCGAGTGAGCAAGACCATCTGGAAATGCCGGAAAGCCTGCAGTGAATGGGCTGGGTGATAGCCCTGAACCAGCTAGCCCTTTGCAGGCACCTCTGGGGACGATCACCTGCCAAGGGAAGACTGCTTCCTCCGTCCCTTGTCTTTTGACTCTTCACAGGCCACTTTGCAAAGGATTGTTTCATGCAGCCAGGTGGGACCAAGTACTCTCTGATACCTGATGAGGAAGAGGAGAAGGAAGAGGCCAAGTCAGCAGAGTTGGAGAAACCTGACCCCGAGAAGAATTCTTCTAGAAAAAGAAAGAAGGTGAGTGCCGTCATGCTTTCATTTTACATGTCTTTCTGAGCTTGAGTGGAAATGTACTGTTTGCTGAGAATATATCCCCTGTGGTCTTCCCACTCAGAAAGACTACTGAACATTTTAGGTATATTCTAACCTCTTTTCTGGGTGGTGATAAATGTATCTAGGTGGGCACATATGCGTATAAACACGAAGTTGTGGTACTAATACTAGGTGTTGTTGGTTTGCTGTGTGTGTGTGTGTAGTTGGGATGAAAGCTTGCAGAGGTAGGTAGTTTTCCATTCAGCAGTTGATACCTGTTGTGTGGCCTTGGTGGTCATCCCCTCAGTGTACCAGCCCCCTTCCACTTCCTCCGGGGGCGGAGCCCCTTTGGCCCTCCCCCTGTGTCTTCTGTCTCTGGTGTTGCTGCTGGGGAAAGGCTGCCCCTTGGGCCCCAGATGGATGGTTGTGGTGAGGAGTATGTTCCTCACAAGGTTGTTGTGCACATCATACACCTGTCTATTTTTGGCTGAAAGATGATCTTGGGGGTGGGGAGGGGTTGGTTCAGTTTCAGGTTTGAAGGGTGTCTAAGAGTCCTAGTTTTGGGGTTCCACAGATATCTACTAGACTATTAAGTTTGGTAGTTTATATTCTGTTCATTTTGCTAACTAAAGTATTTTCTAGTATTCTTAAGCGCTCATCAAAAACCCTTATTTAATATTACATAATAGTCTACCCTAGGTATGTGTAATTATTTCTCCATTGTTAAATATTTGAGCTACTTCCAACCTTAATCTTTAGCCTAACTCATTTGCTTTTGGATACATTTCTAAGATTGCTGAATTAGGCCATTACGTTTTTGGTATATTTTATCAAGAGCCCTCTAGAAAGTATTTATCTGCCCCAGCAGTACATAAGAGTGCCTGTCTCTGAGTTCTGTCTCCTGTGTTTACTACAGGGCAATCCAGAAAACACACTTTTGTAGTCCACAAAGAAATAGCACATTTGTAGCCTGTTGCATAGCAAGGAAATTAAGGCCCAAACAAAGACGATGATATAGTTGGATCAGTGGTTGTTTGGGCTATTTTGTAGTGTTTTTCTATCATTGACAACTTACTGGGGTTTCGTTCCTTTAAGCTTTGGGAAACTTCTACTGAATGGCCTCTTTTTTTTGCCAGACATTGTGCAAACCTAGGAATGCAAAGGATAAGATAAGGTCTTCCCCTTAGTGGGTATTAGCTGCACTTTAAATATTTCTTCATTCATAGGTGCGAAAAGGGGCTCCCGGTACCATTCTAAGAAATAATCAAGTATATGAAGAGAATAAACATCTACTTAAATTTTATAGATTTAGCTGTTGAATAATACTTTCTCCCTGGGTGATCATATCCCTCCTAAGACTCTTGCTGCTTTGATAACTTCCATTGCCCCACTGAGTTTCCCACAGGTGCCTCCAACTTTAGCTCAGAGTCATACCTAAATTTAAGCAAACTTCAGTTTCATTTCCAAAGTAAGGTTCATATTATCTTTGATAACAAGGATTTTGAAATGCCCAACTTCTAAAAATTAAGATATGAAGCACTGACGGTTTAGTGCTGAATTCATTTTCTTTTAGAATATCGAACTAGCCTAAAGAGTTGTTTGAAGTATGTATTTGCCATGGCCCACTACCCAAGGCTTCTCCCCAGCCCCCTGAAGTCCCGTTTCGGGGCCTGCATCTGGGCTGCTGCCCTTTTCTCCATTATGTCACTGCCCATCACTGGCTCTGTCCAAGTGCCGCGGTGCCCCAGGGCTCTTTAGACTCCCTTCTGTTCTGTACCTACCTGCTCCCTAGGGAATCTCACTCTAGCCTAGGGGACACACACGCACAC